TATATAAAGAAAAATCCCTTAATGGTATTTCAGTAAAAGATTTATGTAATATCAAGTGTAAACATAGTGAAAATTCAACCTGAACCTTACTTAAAATAATTCAATAAAACTCGAAAATATTTCTTTTGAGAATTGGTGCTTGCATAATTGCATAAAAAACTGCAGTTAATATTTTTTTTTAAAGAAATTACTTGTAATTTTTCAGTGCGATTTTGAAATTCACCCCGTTGCTGTTCGTCACAAGAGTAAAGACACATTTAAAGAATAACGCTTAATGACATTTTCGAGTGTGAACCTTTTTAAAATAATTTTTTTCTTTTAGCAACAGTTAGATGATTTTTTATGGATGTACAAAAAGGATATAATTCTAATTTCTCGCTTTAGCCATTCTATCAAGTTTCATAAACGTATATAAAATAAAATATATTTAACTATTGATTATACATAATTTTGGTTACGGACTTGGATGCCATTGAATAATTAAGTAAGATCTCACAATCAATTAATATTATAAATTCATTAAGTATTTACCAATTTTGATCATTTCTTTAGTAGTTTAGCATCCTGCTACCACTTTTTTTTTTTTTTATCAATATCAATTTTTGTGCAAATCTGTGCAAAAAACGGATCACAGAGCTTATTCAGCTTAATACATATTTTCAGAAAACCTCAACTTCTGATTGGTCACTTAATAATATCGACCTAGTTTTGACCTGACTAAAAAAAATAATTCCGCCCCAAATCTGTCAATGCCTTTCGGACCTATCACGTAATTAAGTTGATTATAAATACCAGACACGAGTTCGTTCTTCCTCGATTACACTCGTTACCAAAATGTAATTGTAAAAAGAGATCGCGTCTCGACTCCTTGCTGGCGGACGCTATGAAAACATTCACACACGCAAAAATACACGTACGTACGAAACTTTTCAAACTTAATTACAAGCAATGGAAACTTAATTACAAACATTACAGAACATTCACTCCAACTCTTCTAAAGTTAAAAGTTTTTTACTCAACATATTCTCAGCTTTACAGAATTCTTTCAACTCTATCACAGTGAACATTTTGAGCGGCAACTTCATTCAACCCTTTATGAGCTCAGATAAAGAAGTATTCCATTAGTACAAACTTTAAATCCAGTCAAAGGAAAGTAACCTCTATGCTTGTACATCATTATATAAATATAAATCTCGTTGTTGTTATAAAACCGTTTTGTGTTCCTTCTTGTTGCTCTTGCGTTTGCTTACACATTCGTAAGGTAAAAAATGTACGGGTTGATTTAGGCTGTCAATGCCGTTACAGTAGTAATTCCGTTATATTCGTACGTTTTCTTAAATTCAGAATAATTAAAAAAATAACACATTGGGTGCAATTAAATATTTTAGGGCATAAAACGGAAGAAAATAAAAGACAAACGCAGTGGATTAAACTCGAAAGTATTGTAGTTTGAATTCACTTTAGCAACAATAAATTTCTTCTCCTGTCCTCCACCTCTCGTGCTTTTACCACTCGTGCAGCAGAAAAAACTCACACTCGGTTAAAGGATTTTTTTAATTTGGTAAAAAACACTACGGAAAAAAAAAAATCATAGTTCAAATAAATGTTTGAGATAACAATTCATATAAGCCAAGGGCACGTAACAAAGACAGACGACACGAGTTGAGTTTAGAAAAAACAGACGATAAATTTATTAGCATACAAAAAATGAAAGAATTACGCAAATTAAGTACTTTGTGTGCCAAATGATAGCCAATAACATGTATGTACAAATAAATCACTGCAAATAAAATATGCCTCTTTTAGTCTTTTATAATAAAAATTACTATGCTGCATAAGGTACCCAGAAAAGGTAAACAGGAAAATAAATATAGAAATATATTATTATTTTTATATATAAAAAAAAATGTTTAGAAATTTAATAAAAGCGCGTAGATTAAAAAATACTATTCGTCATCTATGATAATTTATTTTTAAACATAAATACCAATTTCTTGATTAGTGCACTGCTGGTGTTCCATAATTTCTTTAATTTTGATTTTTGATTTTTCGCGCACTTTATAAGTCTGGTTTGAAATTATAGGGTTTCTCAATTTTACTTCTGATCTTACAGGCTGCCGTGCGTAAATGTTATTTTTATTATGTTTTAAGTAAAAATTAAGCATTGTTTTTTTTACAAAATCCAGTTAATTAAACCTTAAATTTATTAACTCTGAAACATCTCTAGGACAAATATCGGATTTTTAAGAGATTTTAAAATTTGCTATTTATATTTTTCGTCTATAATGAAGGTTCGATGAGTGACTAGTGAACGTGCAAATATTTAAAAAAAAATACCTAAAAACAATAATTTTCTCTTAATACGAACTTTTAGCTTTCAAATAAATACAAAATTTAAGTTCTAAGAAAACATTTAAAATAAGTTTTTCGATTTTTTAGGAACTCCGTGGTGGTATGTATTTCTATCCCATATTCACCTGGAATGACACCAATTGATTATTACCTTTTTTCGATCGCTGCAAAAGGCTTTGTTGAATAGATAAACTTTCTCCCATGAAAACCAGATTCGAGAGTTCGTCGAAAATGCTTTTCACATTAAAACCCGAGGACCTTTACTAAAAAAGCTATCAAATAGCAGAGCTGCCTGAGAAGTGACAGTAAGTTGTTGCAAATAATGATGAATATATAATTGTAAATAAATGTAATTGTACTTTTTTTTATATAATTGTTAAAATGTAATTGTACTTTATTTTTTAAAGATAAAGAAAAACGGAAATTATTTATGACTCAAACCTAATAGTTAAATTGACACACGGAAATTGTTGACTATGAATTTTACTTCGAGGGGAATCTTCACATTCTCTCTCTCACTCACTCACACGCACGCCACAAAAACAACATACAGCGGCCACTCTTATCTTTTTGTGGGGTGGATGGGTCTTAACATATTTTTGTTCAGTTTGAATATTTGGTTGTCATTATACATAATTTTTATATTTTGGTAAAAAAAATAAAAATAAAAAAATAATAAAATAAAAACAAAAATTGTAAATATTCATAAATTTTTGCATCATGAGGTCGTAGTAGCCAAACAACCCAAACCGTGAGTATGTGGCATTTTGGTAAATGTAGGATTGGGTGAAGAGGGATGTATTCTTGTGGTGAATGAGTAAATTGTACCGAATGATTGAGTCGCCAATCAGATTAACTAGGTTTGGGATAGTCAATGATGACCAGCCTCACTACACCCACCCTTCGACCTTGTGCCAAAATTGTACATAAAATACAATAAATATACACACGCACATCATCCGTTTTCACATCACTGTGTGCGCACATACGTGTGTACGAATAGGAGAAAATCATTAGCATAAAGAGCACCAAATAGACGAGCGTTTAAACGTTTTTAGTTATCACAACAGTAATACGTATCAAAGTAGGATTAATATTTAAATTTACCGTAATAGTTTGAAACCCGTGAAATAAAATTATTATTGAAAACCTTGAAATCACTCATAGCTAAAAAAAAGAAAAAAAGAAACTATAAGAGTCTTTTATAAAATATAAAACTACAGGTCGGGAAAATTGTTAATTTGTTGTTCGCATAAGAAACGTTTCATTCGAGCTTAGCTCGAGGGTGCGGTTCAAAACGCTTAAATCAAAACGCAGTTTTGAATGCTTTCATTCTTTGATTATTGATTATTTTAAAACCAACCGAAAAAAAATATTAAATTTGTTTTTGCACATAATAAATAAAAATGGCTGAATCTGAGTTTTCCAGAAAGGTTCGGAAGTATGATAAAAGCCATTTTCTACCATCAATTCCAGCTAAAAGAAAAAAACCTATATGGAGTGACAACCAACCGCCTTTTGTTATTCAAGATACCGACGAGGAAACAGAAGAGGAAAAAACTGATCACAGCAATTTAGTTTCACAATTGTGTCCGGCACCAGCCAGTAAATTCCGTGGGTATCCCAAACCTGACCACCTGCCATCACTGCGAAGTCAGATTAAGGCCATGCAGTTGGCTCAGAAGGACAGAGAGAAATTCAGAAAATGTCTTGTAGAAATTATAATGCTTGGTGATACAGCAAAAAGCCGTCCCATATTCCAGGGCGAAGACAGTATACCATTTACAGAAAGAATTCCCTCGGTTTCTAAAGATCCTAGTGATGCCGAGAAACTTCTACTAAGATATCATTATTATATTCAAAATGGTATTGATACACTTCACGTGGCTTCTATGGCTGTTTCTTGGCAGCAAAGAATAGCTACCCTTATACCAGATAAACTGAGAAACAATTTTGCAAATAAAATGGAGGACTTGATTGACGAAATAAAAGAGGATTACTTGAAGAGCGTTAAAAAGGCTATTGTAGATTTTGTCCTGAAAGATCCAATGGATCGGGATGAAGTATCTGAAGAGGCACTGCCAACCCATAGGCAGGAGATGGCGATGCTTCCGAAACCCTGGGAAAAATCCTTTGCTCAAAATCTGAAGACAATCAGTAGCATTTTGTATACGAGTAATAGTGTGATTTGTCGACTAGTTAACCTGTGGCACAAGTCTTTTAAGGATTTACGTTTTGTGGATACCAAGGTTTTTGAAATGGAAGAAAATGCGATGGAGGTGAGTTACTTCCAAAATCTTTGTCTGAAAAATATCAAAGCTTTAAAAGACTCGTTGAGTGAAGAATGGATCAAAGGCGTGCTTGACATTTTGTCTAATTGTTATAAACGCGAACTAATTAAGCCTTCAGAAGCAAAACAGGATTCAAATTTTTTGAAATGTGTTAATGCCTTGATGACACTCCAGTTGCAAGAGCTGACCACCCAGTCCATTATGGAATTTACGGAATTTCTTCTAAATCCCGACATGCATTCAGGAATCATCGTTCATTTAATACCCATAGATGGTGTCATAAAATTCGTACCAAATTTCAACGAAATCGAATCGATTTTCTTTAATATTTACCAGGCCATTATCAAGCACTCAACGATGATTCCCCGAATTGATGTTTTGGGCCGCCCTAACAATAAATCTTTTCTCAAACCTGTCGTTTTGGAAGAAGTTCTGTTGTCACACCAACAAAAAGTTCAGAAGTATCTCTCGCAACAGAGTCAGCAACCGAAAGATTATATCAGAGTCTTCCGCAAATATCAAACGCTCATTTGCCGTCAAGCTGAAGAGGAGATGGAAGCATTTATTGAACAGCCCAATAGCTTTGCTGATTATTGCACTCAAGTGGATAAATACCAAAAGTTCACTGACGATCTTACTTACCCACATATCCAGGTGCTGCGTCTCAACATGTTTGAGATTCATTGTGAGGAGCTCTATCATTCCCTGGGTTTGAAAGCAGGGATGATACGGCAACAAATTTTGGATAAAATCCGTAATGACTATATCAGCCAAATGAAGAACATTACCCAACAGCTAAGCGATATAACCACTAAAGCTTTAACAACACCGTCGAACACAGCGCATCTTATGGAACTGAAGAAAGAAGTTTACAACATTGAGAACGAGCAGATACCCGAGTTGGAGAAGCGATTAGCAGATTTGCTGAAGCAGTTGAATTTTTTGCTGAATACGGTGCACGTACAGGCTAAAGATATGGAGCTTAGTACAAGCACCATGAATTGGTATCGACGAATGCCAGACGTCTTCATGGAACATGCCGTCTTGATTGAGGAAAAGCAGCAACAGTTTAAGGAGGACCTCAAGTTGAGAAAAGAGAGACTTACTGAAGATCTTGAAACCTACAGTAAACAAAGCGAGGAGTTCCGCACCTATGGCGACATAGACGAAGTCAAGAAATACGCCCGTAAAGCGCAAGCACTTGAGGCAAAGTTAAATACAGCCGGCGAGAAAATTGAAGCCATTAACGAAGAGGAGGAGTCGTTTGAACTTGATGTAACGACATTTCCGCAGAGACAGCAATTGCTGACATTTATAAAGCCGTACATAAATCTGTACAACACATCTAATGATTTCAATGAGAAATACTCAGCGTGGATGCACGGGCCAATGACAGAGGTCCATCCGGATACAGTGGAGACAGAAGTAGGCAACATGTGGAGAGAACTGTACAAGCTACGCAAATTCTTCGATTCTGTGCCGGCCCCAAAAAGCATTGCCAGCAAAATGAAGAGCAAAGTCGACAATTTTAAAACACACATGCCAATAGTACAGACCCTGTTCAATCCTGGATTGCGCGAGCGACACTGGGAACAAATATCGGAAATCATCGGCTTTGCATTACGCGGGGACCCTTCAAACACTTTGCATAAAATCGTTAAGATGAATTTGGAACCGTACATTGACAGTTTCGAGACAATCAGTGATTCAGCGAGCAAAGAGTTTTCATTAGAGAAAGCGCTTCAGAAGATGAAAGCCGAGTGGGAACCTCTAACGTTTACAGTCATACCCTATCGACAGACAGGAATTTATATTTTGTCATCGATCGAGGACATCCAACTATTACTTGATGATCATATCGTCAAAACGCTGACAATGCGTGGATCACCGTTCATAAAACCCATCGAGGCCGAAACTAAAGAATGGGAGCAGAATCTGACGCATTTGCAGGACATCCTGGATGTTTGGATAAAAGTGCAGTCTATCTGGATGTACCTTGAGCCAGTATTCAGTTCTCCAGATATCGTCATGCAGATGCCTGAAGAAGGGAGGAGATTTGGCGTTGTTGAGAAAACATGGCGCAGTATAATGGCGTCAGTGTGTGAAGACAACCGGGCCCTGTCTGTAGTGAAGATCGATAAGATGTATAAGAAACTGTGTGATTGTAATAAATCACTGGAACACATTCAAAAAGGGTTGAACGAATATTTGGAGAAAAAGCGTCTCTATTTTCCTCGTTTCTTTTTCTTATCCAACGAGGAATTACTCGAGATCCTGTCTGAGACAAAGGATCCGACGCGAGTTCAGCCCCATCTGAAGAAGTGCTTTGAAGGCATTGCCAAATTACAATTCACCGATACCCTAGATATCACGCACATGCTAAGTAGCGAGGGAGAAGTAGTACTACTTAAGAACGTCATTTCCACATCAAAGGCACGAGGTCAGGTTGAAAAATGGCTGCTTGAGTTGGAAACGTCCATGTTGGCGACTTTACATAAAATAATCGGGGAGGCTATTACGGATTATGAAAATGCGAAGCGAGTGGAGTGGGTGCGCAACTGGACAGGCCAGGTGGTTCTTTGTGTTAGTCAGATGCATTGGACAATCTGCGTAACAAGTGCCATTAGAACGGGACTGGGTGCCTTGCAGATTTTCCTTGAACAAAACAACGATCAAATCAAGGAAGTGGTGGAGCTGGTTCGTGGCGATCTGTCCAAACAAAACCGCGTTACTTTACAAGCGCTTATTGTATTGGACGTGCATGCCCGCGATGTACTTAGCATCCTGGTCAACAAGAATGTAAGCGATGAATTAGACTTTGAGTGGCTTAGTCAACTGAGGTATTACTGGATCGATAACGAAATGGAGACACGGATGATCAACTCTATGTTGAAATACGGTTATGAATACTTAGGAAACAGCAGCCGTCTTGTTATTACGCCCCTTACAGACAGGTGTTATCGGACACTATTTGGAGCTTTGCACCTTCACCTTGGTGGTGCTCCCGAGGGTCCAGCCGGTACAGGCAAAACAGAAACTACTAAAGACTTGGCCAAGGCAGTCGCTAAACAATGCGTAGTTTTTAATTGTTCGGACGGCCTGGACTACATCGCTTTGGGCAAATTTTTCAAGGGTCTTGCGTCTTGTGGCGCCTGGTCGTGTTTTGATGAGTTCAACCGAATTGACCTCGAAGTATTATCTGTAGTGGCCCAGCAGATCCTTACAATTCAGAGAGGAATCAACAGTGGAAGCGATACACTCCTGTTTGAAGGAACAGAAATAAAATTAGATCCTACTTGTTCTGTTTTCATTACCATGAACCCTGGATATGCTGGTCGTTCTGAACTTCCAGACAACTTGAAAGCTCTTTTCCGAACTGTAGCTATGATGGTTCCCGATTACGCCATGATTGCTGAGATATCATTATATTCTTGTGGCTTTATCCAAGCGCGTCCTCTCTCGGTAAAAATTGTCGCCACATATCGCTTGTGCTCCGAACAGCTATCCTGTCAACACCACTATGATTACGGCATGCGAGCTGTCAAATCGGTGCTAACAGCGGCCGCGAACCTCAAGTTGAAATATCCAACGGAAAACGAGGACATCCTAATATTACGTTCCATCATTGATGTGAATATGCCAAAATTCCTGGACCACGATCTACCGTTATTCCACGGAATTACCTCCGATTTGTTCCCGGGCATCACTCTTCCTGATCCGGATTACAAGATTTTTAACAAAGCTGTAAAAAGCAATTGCCTCAAGATGAATCTCCAGTGCACGCCATATTTCTTACAGAAAATACAGCAGGTATACGAAATGATGATCGTGCGTCACGGATTTATGATCGTCGGTGAACCGTTTGCTGGCAAAACCAGTTCCTATCGCGTTCTGGCTGCAGCGCTTGGAGATATCCATGAAATGGGTCTGATGGGTGAAAACAAAGTTAACATCACCGTTATCAATCCCAAATCGATAACCATGGGTCAGCTGTACGGCCAGTTTGATCCCATGTCGCACGAGTGGTCAGACGGTGTTTTGGCAGTATCTTACAGGTCGTTTGCAGTGTCTCAGACACCTGCTCGAAAGTGGTTGATATTTGATGGACCAGTTGATGCTATTTGGATCGAGAATATGAACACTGTATTAGATGACAACAAGAAGCTTTGCTTGATGAGCGGCGAGATCATCCAACTAGCGCCAACCACTAATTTAATCTTTGAACCGATGGACTTGGAGGCTGCTTCGCCAGCGACAGTGTCTCGCTGCGGAATGATTTATATGGAACCTCTTTCTCTTGGTTGGAGGCCGTTATTTTCATCCTGGTTAAACACACTTCCTCCAACCATGAATGATACGTACAAAGGAATAATCACAGACCTGTTCGAAAGATTTCTAGATTCGTGCCTTTGGCTGATCCGAAAAGGAAAGGTTCGAGAATTATCAGCTACATCGGACAGCAATATAGCTCGATCGCTGATGAATCTGATGGAGTGCATGATGGATGAATTGAGTGAAGAGACACGAGTGGTCAACATGGAAGTACATGAAGTGTTATCATGGCTAGAAAGTATTTTCTTTTTTTCTCTCACCTGGTCAGTGGGCGCCACTTGTGACGAGGTTGGGCGCCAGATTTTTAACGACCTTATACGCGAACTGATTGATGGTGCAATGTCAGATGAGACCTACAAAAAATATGACTTTATAAACAGAGTCGATGCCCCCGTCAAACCTTATCTGAACCCTTTTCCTTCGAAAGGAAGCATCTTTGACTATAAATTCGACAAAGTAGAAACTGCTACTTGGGTTACTTGGAAAGAAGAGATCAGATTAGCACCACCAATCCCAAAGGATGCAACCTTCAATGAAATTATCGTCCCTACTGTGGATACTGTTCGCTACACAGAAGTTCTGAAAATGCTTATCACGCACGGCAAGTCAGTTTTGTTTGTCGGACCTACTGGGACAGGAAAAAGTTGTTACATTACGGAATTTTTACTTAGTAAAATGGACAAAACTAAGTTTGCAGCAAACATTCTGAATTTTTCGGCTCAGACCACAGCAAACCAGACACAAAATATCATTATGTCAAAATTAGACAAAAGAAAGAAAGGTGTATTTGGACCGGCTATTGGCAAAAAGTCTGTCATCTTCGTTGACGATTTGAATATGCCAGCAAGAGAAACTTACGGTGCACAACCACCGATCGAACTCTTACGGCAATGGTTTGATCACGGTAACTGGTACGACTTGAAAGACGTGTCCAGAATTGAATTGGTCGATCTCCAGCTCGTAGCCGCAATGGGCCCTCCCGGGGGCGGTCGCAACCCGATCACTCCGAGATTTTTACGGCATTTCAATACGATTACGATTAACGAGTTTAATGACAACGTCATGTGCAGCATATTTAAAAAGATACTCGACTGGCATTTGGTCAAAAATAACTTCAGCAGCGACTTCGAGTCTTTCTCCGTGAAGATCATAAACGCAACCTTAAATATTTACAAAGGGGCAATGGAAAATCTATTGCCGACACCGAAAAAATCTCACTACCTTTTTAATCTTAGGGACTTCAGCAGAGTCGTTGCTGGGTTACTACTTTCTCTTCCAGAGACCGTACCGTCTCCAGATTCATTTAGCAGGTTGTGGGTACACGAGGTTTTGCGAGTCTTTTATGACCGGCTTGTAGACAATGATGACCAGAAGTGGCTATTTAATTGCATCGTACAAGTCTGTAGCGAAACAATGGAAACAGATTTCCACAAATTATTTTCTGATTTAGATTCGGATGAAGATGGTATCGTTACAGAGGAAGACATTCGCACCCTCATCTACTGCAACTTTGGAGACCCCAAATCGGATAAAGGTTACTACAAGGCTGTCACTGACACGGAGTCTCTTCGTGAAGTGATTGAGAATTATCTGGACGAGTATAACAACATGAGCAAAAGAACGATGAATCTGGTTCTCTTTAAGTTCGCTATCGAACACGTGTCGAAGATTTCCAGAATTCTGAAACAATCGAGGAGCCACGCTTTGTTGGTAGGTGTTGGAGGATCCGGTAGACAGTCGCTGACAAGATTGACAGCTTTCATGGCTGACTATGCTATCTTTCAAGTGGAGATTAGCAAAAGCTACACCAAAGTCGAATGGAAAGACGACCTGAAGATGATTCTAAAGAAGGCTACCGAAACGGAAAACCACGCTGTGTTTCTTTTTACGGACACACAAATCAAAGAGGAATCGTTTCTGGAGGATATTAACAATTTGCTGAACGCTGGCGAAGTTCCAAATCTCTATCAAATAGACGAAAAGGCTGAAATATGCGAGAATATGCGCAAACTAGACAAGCAAAGAGATAAAGCTAAACAGACGGACGGGAGTCCGGTCGCCTTGTTTAATATGTTTATTCAGAGAGTAAGAGAACAGTTGCATATCGTGTTGGCTATGAGCCCGATCGGAAACGCATTTCGAGAACGATTGCGAAAGTTCCCATCATTGGTTAACTGTTGTACTATCAATTGGTTCCAGCCGTGGCCAGAAGACGCCCTAGAAGGAGTCGCTAAACGTTTCCTCGCTGATATTGAGTTGAGCGACGAAGAGAGGCAGGGATGCATCGACATATGTAAAATGTTCCACACTAGCACGTCGGAGCTGTCGAAAAGGTTCTTTGATGAATTGGGCCGATACAACTACGTGACACCAACCTCCTATTTGGAGTTGATGGGGACCTTTCAAACCTTACTGGAACGGAAAAGAAACGAGAATACAAAACTGAAACATCGTTATGTTGTTGGCCTGGATAAGCTTTTGTCAGCGGCGTCTGAAGTGGCGGTCATGCAAACAGATCTTGTCGACCTAAAGGCAGAACTGATTGTTGCCGGTAAAGCAGTGGACGAGATGATGGTCATTGTGGAAAAAGAATCAACAGAAGTGGCACGGAAAGAGAAACTGGTAAAAGCAGACGAAGCCGTTGCTAATGAACAAGCAGAAGCGGCGAATGCCATAAAAAATGAATGTGATGCAGATCTGGCCGAAGCCTTGCCGGCACTTCATTCGGCTCTGTCAGCTTTGGACACATTAACACCACAAGACATAACCTTGGTTAAAAGCATGAACAATCCACCTCATCTAATTCGGCTCGTGATGGAAGCAGTATGTGTACTGAAAGGAGGGAAACCTGATCGCGTGCCCGATCCATCTGGTTCTGGTAAAATGATCGAGGATTATTGGCCATCTTCTAAACGGATTTTAGGAGACATTAAATTCCTTGAATCTTTGCATAATTTCAATAAAGATAATATCCCACCTGCAATCATGCGTCAGATTCGCACCAAGTATATTTCCAATCCTGATTTTGATCCCGAAAAGATCAAAGTTGCTTCGACGGCATGTGAAGGATTGTGCAAATGGGTAAGAGCTCTGGACGTTTACGACAAAGTGGCCAAAGTAGTTGCTCCAAAGAAAGAAAGTCTCGCGAAAGCAGAAAAAGAACTTTCGGTTGCAATGCAGTCGTTGGAAAAACAAAGGGCCTCATTGAGAGAGGTGCAAGATAAACTGGATCGTCTAAATCTGCAGATGGAGCAGAATAAAAAGAAGAGAATCGACTTGGAAAACCAGGTCAACCTGTGTACAACGAAAATGCATAGGGCGCAGCAATTGATAGGCGACCTCGGGGGAGAGAAGGAACGATGGAGTCAGGCAGCTGAATCTCTCAAACATGCTTATATAAATATGACTGGCGATGTATTGGTTGCATCGGGGATTATAGCCTATCTCGGTGCATTCACACCGTCTTTTCGACATGACCAAGTTGTCGAATGGGTTAATGAAGTGAAAAACTGCGGACTACCTTGCTCGGATTCCTTTTCCTTGGTTCATACTCTCGGGGATCCTGTCAGCATCCGAGCCTGGAACATAGCGGGTCTGCCTACCGATAGTTTCTCTATTGAAAATGGGATTATTATGACTAATGCCCACAGGTGGCCGCTTATGATCGACCCTGAGGGCCAGGCAAATAAATGGATAAAAAATATGGAGAAATCAAATAACCTGGCTGTTGTAAAGATCACAGACTCGGATTTGGTTCGCGTTCTGGAAAATTGTATACAGTTTGGAACCCCAGTCCTTATGGAGAACGTGGGCGAAGATATTGATCCGATGCTTGAACCCCTTCTCTTGAAACAAACGTTTAAATTGTCCGGTGCTCTTTGCATTCGACTTGGGGATAGTGTTCTTGAATATTCAGAGGATTTCAAGTTTTACATGACCACAAAACTGCGCAACCCCCACTACTTGCCGGAAACGGCTGTCAAGGTAGCTCTTTTGAACTTTATGATTACAGAAGATGGTTTGAAAGATCAATTACAGGGAATTGTCGTGGCTAAGGAAAGACCAGAATTGGAGGAAGAGAAAAACTTTCTCATTTTGCAAGGGGCTGAAAACAAAAGGCTATTAAAAGAGATTGAGGATAAAATTCTTGAAGTATTATCGTCATCTGAAGGCAATATTTTAGAGGACGAGACAGCTATCAATATTCTATCGTCTTCCAAATCCGTATCAGACGATATTTCGGCAAAGCAAGCGGTTGCCGAGGAAACAGAGAATAAAATTGACGTTGCAAGAAGTGGCTACCAGCCAATCGCTTTTCATTCAACCACTTTATTCTTCACGATCACTTCTTTATCAAATATTGATCCGATGTATCAATATTCCCTGACATGGTTTATTAATCTCTTCATATTATCAATTGCAAACGCAGAGCCCTCGGAGGATCTTAAACTACGTCTGCAAAATCTTAATTCTCACTTCACGTATTCGCTGTATGTGAACATTTGTCGGTCATTGTTTGAAAAAGATAAATTGCTTTTCTCGTTCATTTTATGTATTAATATCTTAAAGGCTAATCATGAAATTGATGAAGAGGAATATAGATTTTTGCTGACAGGTGGAATCGGCGTCGATAATCCGCTAGAAAACCCTTCTTCGTGGCTTCCATTAAAATCCTGGAACGAAATCTGTCGCTTGGATCATCTTTCACATTTTACCTCTATTCGTAAAGAGTTCCAAGAACATGCAAATGTTTGGAAACCCATTTATGATAGTTTGACGCCACATAAAGAACCCTTTCCGGGTAAGTGGAATAATCTCAATCATATTCAGAAAATGCTGATTCTACGCTGCTTAAGGGCAGATAAAATTGTTCCATGTATCCAAGAATTTGTGACAGTCAAACTTAGCAAGAAATTCATCGAACCTCCTCCTTTCGACCTGCAAAGGTCCTTCGACGATAGCAACTGTTGCTCACCGCTACTCTTCGTTCTTTCACCCGGCGCTGACCCGTTGGCTTCGTTACTCAAATTCGCAGCTGATCAAGGATTTGCCGCCATGAAATTTGATTCATTGTCTCTTGGTCAAGGCCAGGGACCGATCGCCATTAAAATGATTGAAAAGGGATTCAAAGAGGGTACTTGGGTTCTCTTGCAGAATTGTCACCTGGCTGCTTCCTGGATGCCGACTCTGGAGAAAATCTGCGAAGAATTTAACCCTGATATAGTTCATCCGGATTTCCGGTTATGGTTAACCAGTTATCCGTCTTCTAGTTTTCCGGTTTCAATATTACAAAACGGTGTTAAGATGACCAACGAGCCTCCCAAAGGAATTCGATTTAATATCATTCGTTCTTACCTTAGTGATCCAATTTCCGACCCTGAATTCTTTGGTGGTGTCGAAAATAGTTACGCCTTTAAGAAATTACTTTTTGGTCTCTGTTTCTTCCACGCACTTGTGCAAGAAAGGCGAAACTTTGGTCCTATTGGTTGGAATATACCATACGAATTTAATGAAACAGATTTGAAGATAAGTGTCCGGCAATTAGCCATGTTTCTAAATCAGTACGAAGAGGTCCAGTTTGAAGCATTGCGTTATTTGACCGGCGAATGCAATTATGGCGGTCGAGTTACCGATAACTGGGACCGGAGAACATTGACAACTATTTTAAGCAAGTTTTATTGTCCGGATATTATTTACAGTGAAGATTATTACTTTGATGAAAGCCACATATATTATTCCCCAGAAGATGGCGATTATGAGAAATATATTAAATACGCACAAAATCTGCCTCTAAATCCCGCGCCAGAGATTTTTGGAATGAACGCCAATGCTGATATTAAAAAGGATTTAGCTGAAACAACATCATTGTTTGAAAGCATACTGCTTACTTTGTCTAAATCGGTATCTGGGGGAAGCAAATCGAGTGATGAGATTTTAGAAGAAGTTGCAGCCGATATTTTAGCCAAACTACCACGAAACTTTGACACCGATGCAGCGCTTCTAAAATATCCGACTTTATACGAACAAAGCATGAACACAGTGTTGGTGCAAGAGATGGTGCGATTCAACAAACTTTTATCAGTTATTCGGGAAGACCTGGTCAACATTCGAAAAGCACTCAAAGGTATGGTGGTCATGTCTTCTGAGCTGGAGGCGATTGCCATTAGTATACTGAACGGAAAGATTCCGGCTAAATGGATGGGCAAGTCATATCCTTCGCTAAAACCCTTGGGAAGTTATATTTCTGATTTCCTGGCGAGGTTGAAATTTTTACAGAATTGGCATGACGATGGACCGCCAGTGATATATTGGTTGTCTGGTTTCTATTTTACTCAAGCTTTCCTTACCGGAGCCCAACAAAATTACGCAAGGAAATACACTATTCCAATAGATCTACTTGGATTTGATTTTTTGGTCCTTGAAGACAGGGATTACGCGAATCCGCCAGAAGATGGTGTCTATGTGAATGGCTTGTTCATTGATGGTGCACGTTGGTGCAGAAGAAAAAAGGTGTTGGAGGAATCTTACCCGAAAATTTTATTTGATTCTTTGCCTATTTTATGGTTGAGCCCAATGAAAAGAAGTGTTATTCCCGAGAGACCGTCTTATTTGTGCCCGGTTTATAAAACTAGCGAACGACGAGGAACCTTGTCGACCACAGGTCATTCTACAAATTTCGTTATCACAATTGTTCTGCCTTCGGACAAACCCGAGCAACATTGGGTGTGTCGAGGAGTAGCCCTTTTATGTCAACTAGATGATTAAAAGATGTATATATCAACTTTCGCAGGTTATTTTTTCTTTAGACAATCACAATTCTCACATGATACGGCTTCGAAAGTTAGTTATAATCTATAACGGCTTGACCTACAATCCTATAATTTGATCATATAACAACCATATGTATTCAAAAATAAACAAACAAAAAAAAGAGCCTTTGTCAGGCTAAGCAATTTTCAGCATCACTCGTTACACACACGTGCGTGCGCGCACACACACACACACACACATAATGATTTTCTAAGCGCTGCTTAGATGTGGCACAAGGCCGGAAGTATGGAGCATTCAGTGAGGATCGAACTCACTACTCAGTCGTAATATATTCTAGCAAGACAAGCTTGCTAACCATTTCACCACGCCGAGGTGCCCCCCCCACGCATATATATTTTTTATAAGAATTCTTTTTTTTTTTTTAAATAAGATTTTCTTTAATAATATTTCTCGAATATTCAGGCCGGTCGACGAATATAAAAAAAAAACATACTGTTTAATAAATAAATGGAGCGTCTACTCAAATATGAGTATCCACTAAAAATGAAGTGATAAAAAATTGATAGATAGAGCGTACGGTGTGACGATTGCGATTAATCATGACTGTTGCCAGTGGCGTGAAAAGGGGAGGGGTGATGGGGCGAGGGCCCAGGGCGTCACTACCTGGGAGGGGGCACTTCTGATGGAGTATATTATTTTTTTTTGCAATGAAGGCAGCGATAAGGAAGAAGAAACATAACTTTTTGTCTTTATTTAGCAAATTCACCTAAAATTAGATAAATAGAAAAGATAAATAGTTTTTCATTTTAATTTTAAAATGTCTATATTTGGCTGCTGGTAGTGCTGATAATTCGGCCAAACCTGTGAAAACATTTTTTAGATAAGGTTCAAATGACGCCAGCTTGTTTTAAAAAAAAGTCTCCAAAAAGCGCTGTCTGACGATGGGGATGGGCCCCATTTACACACGGTAATCAATTTGGGCTGGTTATCATACCACGATTTACCCCCTCCCGCCTTAGTGTTTTGTGAGTACCTACTTGAATCCAAAGTTTTTTCACACCTATGTGAGATGTCCAAGACTTTGGCATCAGTTCTTTCATTTTGATTTTTCATGTCTGTGAACTGGTAGTGAAAAGAAAGTTCAAAAGATATAAAAGATGGATGCGGAGATGGAATGCCATAAAATCAAAGACTACTTAAAAAAAAAAAAAAGATTCTTGGTTATTATTGAAACAGTTACATTTTCATTCTCTTAGAGTCAACTTCTTTCAGACTAGAAACTAAAAAATCAAAGGAAATTTGACATCAACATAAATGTAAGTGTATTTTTCTTCTCTTTTTGTTAACTCTATTTTAAAGAAATTTAAAACGTGTTTTAAAAAAAATGAAAAATCAATTTCTATAATTTTCTTTTATTAATGTTTGTTTCATATTTAAAATTATATTCTAATGTAATGTGAAATTTTAAATTGTTATCTTTTTTAGAAGTAGATTTTCTTTCAATTTTTATTACAGGGACTGTTGTATTTTGCCGTCCATTTGGCTTGTTATTCGCCAAATTTTGGATAAAATTAATTGTTGGTCTTACTTAAATGTATTTCTTGTCCTGGAATAAAATTAACTTTAATTCAGTGTAATCGCTGGCGGCTATTGCTTTTTGCCTTGTTTTTTTTATTGTTTTAAAATTTGACTACACGCAGATAACAAACTTTTTGACACAAAAATAAACTTTGAACATTCTTACACAAGACAAGTTTTAACGGAATTTAAAAGCAAAATTGAAGAGGTTCTAGGCACCTCCACTTTTTTGCGGGAAACGGCATAGCGTATCAAAAATGCCACAAACTTAAAGTAAATCAAGTTTTATCGTAAAAATGCTTATTTTATTATTAAGATGAAAGACCAAAGTATTTTTTAATTATTTTTTGAACACTTCATTTTTTATTATTTTCTAACACGTTCGAAGTTTTGGTTAAAATCTTCTTTTGTTTACGTCATCGCGGTGCTGTTAAAATAACATTGTTTTTTGTGCGCTTTTTTCCGTTGAAAACACATTGATTTGGAAATTCTTGTAAAAATCAAGTAATTGTCCGATTTTAATGAAATTTTCAGGACTTATTCACAAATGAATGAAATTATTTTTGAAATATTTCTTTCTAGAAAATTTTGGTAAAAAATATTTTTTTTTAAATATGTTACACCCCACTTACTTATTTTCCTGAAATTTCGTTCAAAACCTTTTTATTTCCTGACAATTTTTTTTTTGTTAAAGTAAGAGTCATTAGAGATGGTAAATCACCTACTCTTTTTTTTCAAATTTGCGCTAATTAACTAAAAATCTGCTCTGAATTGAAAAATAATGAATCCAATAAATGAAACATACTAATCGAGAATTTAAGAGTAACAAAAATGTCGTCAATTTCTTTTCGATGACAGGTAAACATTTGGCATAAAAGTTCAATTTTATATATGTTAAAAATAAATTAGAAGTTTTTGTCAAGACAAAAACCATTTTACACCAAGAATCGATTTCATCTAACTTTTGGGCGAATACCGAGGGAAATGGGCGAGTAAATCCAACGATCCCTAATTAGTACAATTGAACCTCTTTTATTTACGAGCTTTCTAAACCAAATTTCAAATAAGATACAGCATCAAATATCTCATTAAACTTGAGCTGATTATTATTATTATTATTATTATTATTATTATTATTATATCTTTTTCTTTGTACAGTAAAAATATTAAATATATTTTAATTTTATTGACAGTCTCACCAATAAACGGCCAAATCTTTATAATTACAATAAAAGCGTGAAATTTATTTGATAATTATATTATGCAACCATCATGTAAATTCGGGGTGTTAAAGTGGTGGCCATTACATGCAAAAAATGGGGACTTATTTTAAATTATTGTTGTTCTAACTTCCCACAAAGGTGTATTCATACAAAGGAAAACAGTATACAAGACATCAGAATATCTGTAAATCAATATTCACCACTAAAATAAGTAAACTTTATTTATTTGTCTATACATTAATGTAAGTATGAAACTTTTAATAGAAAATATTTGATTTTGGTCATTAATTTTTCGCACATTCTATTCTATGCACGATCCAAATCTTCTAGCAAACATACATTAAAACTGATTTTAGTTTATTAATAACCAACAATGTCACAGTAGACAGAGCGAAAAATTAAAGAATTTCAAAACAAACTTAATTTTAATTAAAAATTGAAATGAAATATCTTAAAAATTAATCTTTCAGCTTATTTTATTGAGAGAACAATAATATAGTTTCTCTTTTGCTGCCATATTTTACAAATAAACTTTCTCAAAAGGTTTTGCAAAACAAATACACAAGAAATATTTACACAAAATTTTATTTAACTACTACTGAGTTGAAATTGTTTTTCATTTATATTTATCAACTGTCAATTAGATTCTTTAATCGATATGTTCAACTTTCTGTAGTTTTAGTGTTTAAATGCGGTTAAGAAATGTTTCACAAACGAAGCCCATTGTCAGCCTTATAGATAAATAAAATTTGTCGAATTTGTATATTGTGTTAATGTTTTTTTTTATTTAAACATTCCCTCTAACTGATTAGGATAAACCTTTGTGAACAATGCTTCTGTCCAAAAGAAAATAAATTAAGTATACTGTTGCGATTTTGTTTTTGGCACCAGTCACAATCCTCGCCCCAGGCGCTACCAGACCTCTGTACGCCAATGACTGTTGCCACTGGGTGTTGACCTCAAGGACCACTTATACAGTGTAACCCGGATATGAGAAACCCGGATATAAGAGAGATTTTCTCTGGTCCCAAATTAGAGCCATACTTACCTAAACAAAATAGACCAAACCCGGATATAAGAGAAACCCGGATATAAGAGACTTCACCGGTCCCGACAACTCTCTTATATCCGGGTTACACTGTATACATATAATATTATTATCATTATCATTATTTACTATAAACGTAATTTTTAGTGGGAAGACGTTTTTCAGTTGCTATCTCTTTTTTTTATTTTATTAAACAGTAAAGTTAATAAGTTAACCGACCTAAATTGAGAAGCCCTTAAGAAATAACGTTTGATAAAAATCCTTTCAAATTGGGACTTTTCTATATTTACTAACCATATTTTCGTAAGCGAGACATGATCAAAGTAATGTAAACAATAATGTCGGATTATTATTATTATTACTATTATTATTATTACTATTATTATTATTAATATTATTATTATACAGATTGCGGCTGAAATGTCTCCCACATAATGATAAGATCAGCCGCACCCTGTACATTCGTCATTATTACCAGATACATGCGTTTGAGTAAGCATTACCAGTTTTTTAGACCAGTGAAATTAATGTTCACCGACTGAGAAAGTTTTTTTTAAAGAATACATACGGTTCGTCTGAAGTTAATATGCAAATCACATAAACCTCAATAAGTCGAAATTGCTTTTGAAAATTTATGTCAAATTGAATTTGAAACGTAATTTTTAAGCGAACTACTTACGAACACTACTCTCAACTACAGCACCATCTCCATAAACGGTACAGATCTTTTTTGATGTTCGTACAATGTTTGTTCCCTTTTCGGAAATAAAAGAGCATCAAATGACAAAAATGTATTTTATTTTCCCTTATTTTCACTTTTAACGTAAAGGAATTAAGGAAGTCACGAAAAGTTGCAGTCGCTGTTCCTAGTTAGACTAAAAGTAGTGGCAACTAAAATTTGCATGTGTACATGGCGGGTGTAAAGAAACGGAATAGATTTCAACAAGGCGATATTTTATATTTTGCTTTTTATATAACGGAGTAAAAATAGAGAAAACACATGAGTATAGGTACCTTCACTTTTTCGCGGGAAAACAAGCATAGCGTAATGAAAAAAGTCACGAACTTAATAAAAATAAAGTATTATCGTCAAAATGTTTATGTTATTATTAAGATGAAAGACCAAAGTATTTTTTAATTATTTTTTAAAATTTTTTAATTCTTTCTAAAACGTTCGAAATTTTAGTTAAAATCTTGTTTTGTTTAAGTCATCGAGGGGTGGGGGGATTTGGTGTTCATAATAATGACATTGACTTTTTTGCGCTTTTTTCCGTTGAAAATACATTGATTTGGAAATTCTTGTAAAAAAATCAAATAATTGTCCGATTTTAATGAAATTTTCAGGACTTATTCACATTATTTTTTATTTTTTTTTTTTAGAAAATTCTGGTAAAAATTATTTTTTTTATATGTTACTTAATTTCATGAAATTTTGCAAAAAATTTTCCGTTTCCTGAATTTTTATTCGTTAAAAGTAGGACACCTTGGAGAATCTAAATCACCTAATCTTTTTTTCAAACTTGCACTGAACTGAAAATCTGCTCTGAATTAGAAAATAATGAATGCAATAAAATTATGACATTATTTAATTAGAAAAGCTTTTAATTGCTTTTGTACATAAGGACATTATTGTCCGAAGAAATAAAATATTTCCGATGAATAATGAATTTTTACAAGCTTTTTTTAAATTTTTTAATTATAATAATTTATAGTACAGTGTAACCCGGATGTAAGAGAGTTGTCGGGACCGGAGAAGAAGTCTCTTATATCCGGGTTTCTCTTATATCCGGGTTTGGTCTATTTTGTTTAGGTAAGTATAGAACACTTTGGGACCAGAGAAAATCTCTTTATATCCGGGTTCTCTCTTATATCCGGGTTTCTCTTATATCCGGGTTACACTGTATTTTAAAATTGTGTAAAATTCTGTATTAGGCTATTTCCTGGATGTGATATAGTAATTAAGTGGAAACGAAATTTACGAATCCAAAATTGAAAAGATTAATAAACGTAGGTAAAAATTACAAGGTAGTTAAAAACCATAAATAAACTGCGATCACTTAGATTTCTTAAATTTTGTATCAATTCTAGCAAGCCATACTAGCTGACATATTGCTTCATCACTCAATCGGCTATCCATTATCGCCTCATATAAGCCATGATAAGCAGGACCAATCATTAAATAAATGGTTGTATATTACTTTTTATGCTATAAGTAATATTTATTTCAAATCAGATTAATTTAACTTTAAATTTTCTAATTTTACTCAACTAACGTGTCAGAAATATATATATATATATATATATATATATATATATATATTTTTTTTTTTTTTGAAAGAATTTTAAAATCGATAAATTTTTTTGTTTAGAAATTTCTTAAAATTAAGAAAATGGCCGCTTTTAAAAAAAAAATTAAGAAATCGAAATTAAATTTGACATTACAATCTATATAATTTCTATCTGAAAT